GTGAATTACCCGCTCAGGGATGGTATAGATGACGAGTCCTACGAAGCCATATTCAAACCTGTAAGTCTGTAAAACTTCCCAGGTATTAAAAAAAAAAAGTCAAAACGTACTTGTCTTAATTAGCAGTGAAACTTGAGTCTTGAAAATCTTTTGTTTCTGAATGTCCTGCAGATCATGGCCAAAGTGATGGAGATGTACCAGCCCAGTGCTGTGGTGCTCCAGTGTGGCGCTGACTCCCTGTCTGGAGATAGATTGGGCTGCTTTAACCTCACCATCAAAGGTATCAAACATAATCAAACCGCAAATGCATCTCTAAAGTGAATGCTGTTTGTGTCTAACCAAACCCTTGTGGGTTTCTCAGGTCATGCCAAGTGTGTGGAATACATGAAGAGCTTTAACCTGCCGCTGCTCATGCTGGGAGGTGGAGGCTACACCATCAGGAATGTGGCCCGCTGCTGGACCTATGAGACGGCTGTAGCGCTAGACAGCACCATTCCCAATGGTGAGACACTCTGATTGTGTTAGATTTGTCACGTTTTGTTCTCTCCATGGTGAACACTATTTAACTTGTTCTTTTGTTCCATCAGAGCTCCCGTACAATGACTACTTTGAGTATTTTGGACCTGATTTCAAACTTCACATCAGCCCCTCCAACATGACCAATCAAAATACAAATGACTATCTGGAAAAAATCAAGTAAGTGGGATGAAGGGCCACACATGCCCCATTGATGATTGAAGTTAGTTTGAATGAGAGTATGGTGGCAGATCTGTTTTTGGTTTGACTTGGTTTGTTAATATTGGGTTTTATGGGATTTGTTTTGTTCATATTAGAAAAAACCCAACTGACTTTACTCCGGAATGCTAATTTTAACGTACAAAGTTTATTTGTCTGTAGGGTGTACATTGAACAAGTGTTTTGTAACTGCCACCTGTCTTTTTTTTCTATGCAGACAGCGTCTGTTTGAGAATCTGCGGATGTTGCCTCATGCTCCAGGGGTTCAGATGCAGGCGATCCCAGAGGATGCTGTTCAGGAAGACAGCGGAGATGAGGAGGATGACCCTGACAAACGCATCTCCAGTGAGGGCCACCTTTTTTCACTTGTTGGCAGCTTTTTCTTTTATCGCATAATCCCAAACATGGAAACTCCTTGACTTGTCATTGCGGACCTTTTAATGTGTACTGATGCAGACAAATAAACGTTTAGTTTGAAATCTGAGTTCTGCAGAGCCTGAGTGCTTGTTGTTTTTCTCATCTTTAGTCCGTGCCCACGACAAGCGGATAGCCTGCGACGAGGAGTTCTCAGACTCTGAGGACGAAGGACAGGGCGGCCGGAGAAATACAGCCAATTACAAGAAGCCTAAACGAGTGAAGACTGAAGAAGAGAAGGATGGAGAAGAGAAGAAAGGTGAGCCAACAGGTACAGTCGGTTTCTTTCATTTCAGGCTCCTTCATATTAGAACAGCAGTTACACTTTTGTGAGGTTGCACTGAAGTGAGTTTGGGCTGTTCACATATTGTATAACAGCACTATATTATAGTAAAGAGGTGTGGCATTGACACGCAGTCCCTCTTGTTTGATACCAGATGTCAAAGAAGAAGAGAAGGCTTCAGAAGAAAAAATGGACACAAAGGGGTAAGTTCTCTCACATCGTGGATTATGAAATATGTGCTCAGGTTTTCTGGTTGTGTAAAACATCACTCTAAATGGCAGGGCTTGCTTTATTAATTTAGAAAAATCCACTCAATAGGCTTCATTGATTTTTTTTTTTT